ATATATGCCAGGGCGTTGGGTTTCTCATTCTTGTGTGTGTTTTTTCAGCCTAATTTTAACACTTTCAGACCTAGAGACTTCATATTTACTGTGTATAAAAATTAGATGATTAGAGAGATTTGGTAATTTACAGATTTTTGATACCACGTCCCCGTCGCCACCAATTTGTAAAAAACTTATTGCAAGTAGTAGAGAGTTGTGCTTTGGCACATACACGCCCTTTAATGTTATATTCACGATCAATTTCAGAAAAGTTATTAAGCAATTAAGTTTCCATAGTAAGCCCACACTGCAGCCAATGCGTGTTTATGCTTGCATCTCTGTGTTCTTTTGTGTTTCTTGTGTAAGCAGAAAAACGCGAAGAGTTATTGTGAAATATCAATTCTTCGAAGGATTTAGGGAATTTCGACTAGAGCTTTCATACTTGTTAAATCTTGTTTCTGACAAAAGTATTCGCCGTTCATTAAGTGTATTCCACTATTGGAATAAAGCCGAAATTTCTGAGCCCTCTTTTATTAAAGACTATTGACCCTTTGTTCCTTTTTGTTCCATTTCGAAAAAAGAACAATTTTATAGTAAAATATGAATTTCAGAGCTCATAATTTCTAGACATTGCTAAACAAATTGTTTATAGTTGAGAAAATGGATAACAATATGGAAAGTGTAGAAAACATTTTTTCTGCTCAAGTTATCAAATTTATTGATTTTATAAACATATTTGCCAAAAACTAGCCAGAATCTTTAAAAAGAACAATTGATTCACGGGTAGAAATTGAGACACATAAAAAAATCCGGGCTCCTCATGAAATAACCTTGAAATCTCCATAAAGAAGCTGATTATGAAGAAACTTGCACTCAGTTGAGTGACAAATTTAGAGCGCACTGCGCTTATATATTTTAATATATACATGCTTGTCATATCCCAACTGTGCACATAGTTTTAATCCATGGATACCAGTTAATAGTTAGCTGCTAGTATTCTTGAAGAAAACGCATCAGAAGCTCGGAACAAAAAGAAAGAGCAGCAGATAAAAGGAAAGATCCAGACAAATTGAATATCAAAATAATTTACAATTATTAGTATTATTAATGTTAATTTTCTAAATATGTTAAATAAAAAAAAAATAGCTGGTCATTGTTTTTTTTTTTTACGCAAAATGTCAACCTCCTAGCTTTACTTTTAGAGTTTGTGCCAAAATTTCGGTCTTTTTTCCTATTGTACACTCCCTAAAAATGTGCAAAGTGAGTATTTCCAATACTATACACATCTGCTTTGTTAAATATACACAATTTTTTGTTATTCTCACCATAAAGATAGTCCATATACAAGTAAACTTATTAAACAATTATATTCGAAAGTTGTGTCAGAAAAGAAGGAAAGAATATTTGAAATAGCATATCCTCAAATGGTCCCACGGATCTCGTAGTCCTGCAATCTCTACTAAATATTTCTATGTCATAAAATAACACTATTGGTAATAAATACATAACAATAATAAAATAACATATGGGTAACTCGAGTCAATATATTTAGAGTCGAAAATTTTACTTTCAAGATTCCGAATGCAGACTCCTTCACTTGCAGATATTTCAGATTAATTTCGATAATTTCTGACATTTCATTCTCTAGGATCTGGACATTATTACTGCATCAGTGACCTTCCCATATCTTCGTCTGTATCAGAAACTTTTCCAGTTCCTGAGCTCAGAGTGCAATATAGAAAAGATAATACTATATCGCACTCTGAGCTCAGGAACTGGAAAGTCTCTTTCATCGCTAATGCAATGTCCATCTGTATACTACAATTACAATCAGCTGAATTCTGCCTTTCTTTTTTCATGTTTGCAGCACGGTTTATATTTTCAACCGTTACTTCTTTTCGTATCCTCTAGCGAAAACTGCGGTAAGTCTGCATTTGTTATTAGCATCCGTTTGTTTGTCAGCTAAAAGTCTCCGTTGATCTCTGGCCTACGTACCCCATTCCTACGTCCCGTGTGCTTATCCTTTCTCCGTTGATTTTGACCTGAAATATCATTATCGATTCAAATGTCTTCACCAGATATGCCTGGTTTAGCTTGATGCATGGTGTTTAAGTGGACGATGACCTGGTTGCCTTAATGTTCTGCTTGGTTTTTTGCCTCACGGCTTTACTGCTTTCTAACCCCATACCCATGGTTTCGTTGTAGGTTTAGGCGGTCGAACTGGCCGTTTGGTTGGCCGTTTGGTTGGCGGTTTGGTTGGCGGTTTGGTTGGCGGTTNGAATCCAATTATTGGGCGTGAATGGTCTCACTAAGATTTGCCAATAGAAAGTTAACCAATAAATAATGAGAAAGTCGTGGAAGAGAATTAATGATCCCAAAAGTGCATCATTTAGCCGCATCTCCGCGAATCGACCGCCGTTGATAGTTTGTGCRTGGTACATTACGAACTGAGAAGTGTGTATCAGATATAGGCTAAATATATAATATGAATCAGCGACTTACAGCTAGTATCATAATAGTAATTGCGATTTCGAAGACTAGATAAGAGTAATACCCAGTCCGAGGTATAGCGAAATGCACCATCATAAAGAATATTCCAATTGCCAGAAAAACGAAGGCAATAATGAAAACTACAGCTACATCTAAAGTCAGGTCAGCCTGAGGGATACATATAATATGAGTCAAAAAAAAATTCAATATAAACAATATAATACCTACATCTCTGGGAAGAATCGAACCAAATAAAATAAATATCCAGAGCAGCACAAAGCAAATTGAAAAGAATGCAAGAACATCAATCCAGAAAACACGTGCGACTAACGCGAAGAGCGCAATAATTTGAGACTCAACCTTAAAGACGATTATTACCAAATTGAGAAATTAGGGATTGTTATCATTACTCACAATTATGATGGCCAGAATAAAGTTAAGCACGATAATGAAACGCAACGTCTCAAATAATATAAATAAACCAAATATTAAAATTCCCACACCAAAGAATATAAAGCTGATGTAGTAGTGCATATAAAAAAAATACCTTGCGTCCATACTGCATGAGACGGATCAATTTAAAACATAATCAGGCATTTCCTGAGACTCTTTGCAATTGGTTTTACTCACACGAGGGCTATCACCGCAATCTGTATAAGTGTCAAGGCAAGCCACACGAACAATATGCTATAGACTGTGCAAGCAAAGCGTTGGCGGGCTTTCTTGTAGTACATATAATTTTGGTACGTGGCTCTCATGACGCCATTTACTGGAGAAGAATTTAATAACTTACTAACATATGCCACAAATTTGGGGCGACAATTTACAAATCTGGTAACAACTAGTGTTTTTTTTAAAGCGAAGCAATAACTAAAATAACAAAGCTAATTTTATTTACATCTGACATAAATATAAAATAGAACTTTGTATCCGATTCTAAACGTTGGTTACTTATATATACTGGACATTAGAAAATGATAAATATGAAAGAGCCACGGTAGAAGACTGATTAAAATCGTAGTCCGGTCGTTATTTTACTTATTTTTTTTTATTATTTACTTTCTCACATCAATAGTATTCGTCATTCTTGAAAAGTATCATTGGATCTGGATGTGTTATCTGGTTTCCTCGAGTAAGCCTTGGTATCTTTGTCCTCTGGATTTACAGTGCTTTCATCGGGCTCAAGAACATATTGTTGATCTGATTGATCTTTATCTTTTCCTCGAAAATCATATGCACGATTTTCAATGGGATCGGGATCAAACAAATTAGGCAACTTGTCTTTAACTGGGTTTGAAAACATACTCATATCATCCGCCATAAAGTCGAGGGTTATCGATATCGCAGTTGTTCCGCTCCTTACTCTCACTTTATTTTGATGCTTACTAGGGGCTATATAAACAAAATCACCTATACAAGGCGAATAGAACATTAAGGACAAGTATATTGGATAAATGAATTAGCTTACCACTATAATCTTCGTCTCTTAGATCAATGAATTTGGGATTATTGTTGCTTTTCAAAGCCACAGTACTCAGCATACCCCATAAGGGATCTGCCGCCAACCTAGCATAGACTTGCCAATACAATGTTAGCCAGTATATGATCAGAAAATCATGGAATAGGATCAGAGAACCAAGACAATAATCATGCAGTCGCATCTCCGCGAATCGGCTGCCGTTAATTGTTTGTGCATGATACATAACAAACTGAAGGATATATTTGTAACTCTAGAACAGTTTGACATTCCGTTAATTCGAGCTACTTACAAACATCAAGGTTATTGTAATGGATATCTGCCAGATGAGATAGGCATATGGCTGTATGAAAGGCTCTATTAAATGCATCAACAAGAAGTAGACTCCGATCAACAAAAATAGGAACGCCACAATAAATAGCAAAGCGACGTGAAGTGTGAGATCCATCTGAAGGCATTTGGTGACTATTCGCCTTACCCCTTTCGTGTGTTGATCTATGCTAAGCACTTACCTTCTGCGGCAAGAAGACGCCGATTATTGCAAAGAGAACAATGAGCACGAGGCAGATGCTGAAGTAGATGAGCATGTCCATCCAATGAGCCTGGGCGACGAGCGTGAATGAGCCAATGATTTGCAGCTCCACCTGTTGTATCAGCAGCAGAGAAATGACCAAAATATAAAGGGAATCAAACTAAGCCACATACAATCAGAATGCTTATTATGACGGCGGGTGCTGTCTTCCAACGGGCCTTCTCAAGGAATAGGAATATAGCAAAGAGTACAATGGCCAGCAGGAAGGCGACAATGCTAATATAATAGTAAAACCGGAAGGTCAGATTCATATCTAGGCTGAAGTCGAGTAACAGTAAAATAAATGTAAAAATCATCTATAAAAGTCCAGCTCCAATTCGACTTACAGCATTGTGAGCAACAGCCATTGCCCCAGAGCCAGTATCAGCCATAGCCCCAGCAACAGATAGGTTATTAGGGAAAACTTGCGCCGACTCCTCCTGTATGCATCGTAAGAGGAGTCCGCGTGATACATACTGAATTCGTCATCCACCCGGATCCGCACCAATCAATCCAACATCAATGCCATTCGCTATCAGTGTGAACGGAAAATGAAAATGAAAATGAAACTAAACAGTGATGATGTGTGTGATGATGTGTCTAATGTGATGAAAAATGTGTGTGTAATCATATTTTTTTGTTTTTGTTTTTCATCTATTTTTAAGCGCCTTTAGAGTCACGGCAAACTCGATCTCGCAGAACGCTGATCTAGTTCAGCTGTGCTCACGTCTAGTACCTTCTCTTGTTGATCTCAGAACTGCGACAGCTGCGACATTTGCCTAGGCAATCTGTTGTATGTGTTGCATTCGCATAGAGAGGACACAGACAAGCAGCTAACATGTAAAGTCAACAAAAATTAACAGCATGAGCAAAAAGTAACAAAAAGAACAACAACAGCAACAGCAATGCAGCAAACTGATTTACGCTTGTTTGGCAAATTTGAGTACGTACTGTGACTAGCGTAAAAGGCACAAAACACGGCAAACTGTCAACGCCAAGTGTTAAAAATTTCAAATAAATAATGCTAGAGCAGCAGCGACAACAACAGCAACAACAACAGCAACAACAACGGTAAAGGCAAACAAGCACACTAATGAGCTGCCTGATAAATGCAATGCAAACTTAAAACTTGAACCTCGCACGCAGCTCTCGATCTGTTCGAGCCAAAGTTTTCCGTGGGGCGTATGCAAACAGCCAGAGCAGTCAACACCAGCACCACACACAACACTACGCCAACCACCCCCACCCCGACCCACCGTTGCCCATTGACAGGCGATTTGCATACAAAACCGAACCAAGCCGAACCGAAGCCAAGTCGCTAAGCTAATACCAGTCAGCATGGGACACACGGGACGTATGCGCAACGCACGCACAGGTGATGAGCCGCTAAGGGTGTAGGTGCCGCTGGGAGGTGGGAGATGGGCGGTCGGCAGTCGGCAGTCGGCGGTGGTGCCTGACGGGCCATAGTCAACAAAAAGAAGAATCATTTAGCGACACATTTGGCATATCAAAATTGGCTGCCCGAACTGTTCAGACGGCATTCAAAATCAGCTGCCGTGTGCGTCGTTTATTAACTCCCAAAACTGACAGCAAACGTCAGACGGCCGACAACTGACGATACAACAACTACGCACTATGTACCTCATATATACATACATACATATATACCTTGTATATAGTAGCTGCTATATAGTCTGTCTCGCAGGTTCAGTTTCCATCTTGCTGTCTTTAGCTGACTTGCATGCAAAATTAATTACGGGCAAAATTTGTTTACGATGCTGACGTTGACGTAGACGCTGTCGTTGTCGTTGTCGTTGTTGCTGCCGTCGTCGACGTTGCTGATGCCGTCGCTGCCTTTGCTGAGCTTCTACCACGCGCGCTGCTCCAGCCATAAAAGTTTTACGTTTTAGCCCTAACCGAATTTAGAGCCAGGCCCAGCTCAACCCAGCCCAGCCGCAGAGCCCCTGGCCGCAGAGCCCCTGGCCAGTCCGTTTAGATACATTCTCATGGCCGTTTGCGGCGAATGCCATAAAACTTGAAGTACCGCTGACATTTTTGGTGCTGCATTGCAGTGCAGACGACGCGTTGCGGTTTCCGAACTGCACTCTTTACGATCCCCACATTTTGCGGGCCTCGCGCACTGGCTCTAGCACTGGCACTAGCACTGAATATAGAACAATCACAGCCACCCAGTCGAAAGTGCGAAATGAAATTTTAATCAGGCTCCGTTCGTGTTTATGATTTGGCCATAAAAATTTGAAACTGTTGCGTTGCCGATATTTCATAGCTAGAGTCTCTAATGCAATTTATAGCACATTAGATGAAGGAATGAAAGTTAGCATGGTATAGAAAAATCAAAGCTTTATTATGTATTGCAATTTATACTTTATATGAAGAATTCGATGGGGAAAAGAGACAAAGATATATGGTATATGGTATACACCTTCTATATCATGTTACTATTTTATTAAATCTCTTTATGCTATATATGTATTTATAAACACAAATAATATAATATATCTAAATAGCCCGCTTGCGATATTTCATAGCTAAAGCTTCTAATTCAATACTACAATATATTTGCAGAATTATAACAAATATATATATATATATGTGGTATATACTTTTTTCTGTATTACTTACTATGATATTTTTATTTATTTTTTTTTTTTTTTTTTTTTTAATTTCATTTATAGATAATTTAATGGATCTAAAATATTCGTTGCTAATATATCATAACCAGAAGCATAATCATATCAAAAGCTACTAAATAGATCTAAGCAACGCTCTACTAATATACATTATTGCATTAGCTTAATTACATTACCATCTATTCATTATTATATAGAAATGAGTATTCCAAAGTTTAGGTCTTGCTCTGACTAGTTTTCAACAATTTGTATATGATATTTAAATAATGCACTAAATTAAAAATGATTAAATAATAATAGATAAGATAAGATAAGATATTTGTGTATTTTGCACTCTCAGTTTCATGCTATTCATATTTCATACTCTACAGCCATAAACTACAGCTTCATATTTTAATATCAATGAGCAAAATTTACTCAACTTATTTCCTTAAAATCTTGACCAAGAAAGATTAGAGAATGCGACGTGTTATTGCTTAGCTAACACATGCAGATAACGCCCAGAGACTACAAAGACTTGGCGCAGGTCAGGGTCGCGCTCTGGCTAAATAAACAAAAATCCGCCTCGCTTCAGAGTTCAAGACAAAAGAACAACGCATGCCAACAACTAGTTGTTTGGGCCAGACGCATGCAAATATGTAGAGAGAGAGGCCACACCGATGCTGTGTGGCGACGGAGGTGGACGGCAGCAAGTGCGGCGATAAGGACCACACCGAGCAGTTGATAAGGCAGAGGCACTAGTGTGTCATAGTCGAGGAGGTGAGCAGATAAACCGAATATGGGCAAGTTCAAAGAGCCGACAGCGTCACAGCATCAAACAAAGTGAGCAACAAATTAGAGGCAGCAACTACCAAGAAATTCCCCTGGATTAGGCAACTTGTGTCGTGGATGCCGTCAACGCTTGCGTCATCAAATTTGTAGCTGGTTATCAACAGCAGACGACGACGGCGGCTGATAACACGCAGAATGAAATACAAAGAGCTGATGCTGAGGCTGAAGCTGTAGCTGTAGCTATAGCTGTGGCCAGCACATTCCACAGAGCACTGTGTGAGTCATCTGGCACGATTGGAACGTGACCTGGCCACTTTGGTCACTTTCCCTAATCGCTTAGTTTTTCCTGCAGCGCATTTTCATTTTGTGTCCTTATCAATTTTACG